CGACGGCGGCGCCGCCTCCGGCCACCGTCTGGTTATTCTTCCCTCTAACTTTCAAATGAGGAAGACAACTTTCTAACCCTAGGATCTTCAGTGGACTTTGACCAAAACCCTCATCCAATGGCTCAGATCGCGTTTAATTTTGTGAAGAGTCTGAAACTAACCTATACGCCGCGTTTCATTAACCATGTTGTTTTGGGCTTAGTTACTAGATTGCTAATGACACCCTCATTCCCAGGCCCATTGAGATTTACAAAGAAATTACTTGCTATTTGATACACACGTTTTTCATTTTCTTTATATTTTCCACTTTATTTTCTGAATTGTTTTTGGGCCTAGTATGCGCTTGCTATGCACACCCCCTCCTGGGCCCAACTCTGATAAATAACTGAACCCCATTGCTATTCATCACGCCAGTTTGCTTTTCTATTTTTTAATTGTTTTCTTGTATTTTCATGTTTTACATATGATTGGAGATTAATTCATAATAAATTGAAAAATGACCATTTTAGGATGAGACTTTTTTCCCTGGTTTCCTTAGGGTCTCTAGAAATTTATAGGATTAAAAAATATTAGTTTCATGCATTTTATATTTTCTGGCATATTTTACCATTTTAATGCTTTTATTTTACTTTTGTTTGATACTTCATTTTTCTGAATTTAGCATGAAAGTTTGGTGAGGAATTTTGATGGAATTAGTTTCATGCATTTTATATTTTGTTTGATACTTGATTAGAGTAGGGAAGCATGTACCCTTAGGAACTTTGCCATATTTTTGTAACTAAAATTTAGGTTAGTTTGAAAGGTGAATAGGAGAGGTGTTAGAATTAGGGTTTTAACACAACTAGTTGTAGTTTAAGGCATAGTTTGGGGACTTAGGGTTTGATTTAGGCCTTGGGGTTTATATGGGGTATTGGGTATAGGGTTAGGTTCCCTTAGAAATTTACCTAGGATTTTATGATGAGTTTTAGCATTTTACTTGATTTTTGCAATTTGGGTGGTGATTGTCTATTTTCCCCTTGGGCATTTGGTTTGTTTGTTTGGTTTGGGGTATTTTAATTGAGCTTTGGGCTTGGGATTTGCTTGTTGGAGCTTCTGAAGGCTTGGAGGATGATTGGAAACAAAGGATGGAGCTTGGGGCATGAGGATTCTTCTCCTTGAAGGTTGCTTTTGAAGATTTAGGAGATAGGAAATGTAGGAAGAGCTCTAGATTAGACTGATTTCTTCTGGCAAACATGGAAAGCATCTTGTGCTTCTATTCTTCCCTATGACACAAAGTCCTTCTAAGGTATTCATATCCCTCCTTTGGAGGGATGAGTGACATACTTTAGAAGTAGAACTTTGAGGGAACATTTCTCCTACAATGCTAGGTGCTTATAGGCTTCCTTTGGTTGTCAATAAGTTGTTTAGCATTTCAACTTCATATATTAAGTGATTCTCTTCTGGAGTGATTGCATTGAAGATAGAAACCTATTGAAGATGAAGTTCATTGAAGATTGGTGAAGATGAAGCTTGTGCCTGTCAAAGCTAGTTGTCTGTTGAAGCTAGGGTTTTGCTGCTCCTTTTTGAGGCTGTTTACTGGTTGAAGTTCATGCTGGCTAGAGCTGGATTATTTTTTTAGATAGGAGCTTATCTAAAGTTTGAAGATCATTGAAGATTGAAGATGGGGTCTTGTTTGAAGTTGTAGCTGTCAGAGCTGTTGCTACTTGTGCTGCTCACTGTAGGAGCTGGATTGTTGCTATCAGAGCTGGTGCTGGTGTTGTTTTCTTTTGTTGTATTGTTTGTTGGCTTGTACAGCTTGCCCCATAGGTTTGAAGTGAATGCTGTTTCACTTTGCCTATTGTTTTCCCAGGTTCGAGGTTGAGTTGGACTCCCTTGCCTTGCTTGTATTGATGCATTGCATACATGTTTACTGTTTACTGTATATATCTGTTTCTTTTGCTGTTTATCCCCTAGGATCTCTGTTTCTCTCTGTGCAAGAGAGAAATATGACAGACGTTAGGATGTTTATCCATGCATGACAACTTTAGGGTAGTTTTGCTTCCCCTTTTTAACCTTAGGGTTTTAGAGTGTCGTCTCTCTTCTCATCTTGAAACAATCAAAAACACAATAATATTTCAAACATCATAAAAGACAGTTCTTGCGTAAAAGACTAGAAACAAATTTCAAACGTCATTTTTGTCCTCTTGGACTCGTAATCAGAAGAAAACCTTTTTCAGAAGGATGAAGGATAAACAGACAGACTTGTGTCGTACGTAGCCCGAACTACGTTTGCTCTGATCTTTCATGCTGTATGAAAGTACGTAGGCATAGGATGCCGTATCCTAGCGAGCAACCTTCCCCCCTTAACCCGTAGTTAGGCGAACTACGTTGACTCTGATTTCTCGTTCCAGACGGGAATACGTAGGCATAAAGTGCAATACTTTGCCGAGTCATTTTCTTTCTTTTTAAACCCAGACCTGTAGAGTAGGTAGAATAACAGTCCGTACTAGAAAACAAGCGTGGATCCCATCGAGTACGGCGGACGTGAGGGGTGCTTATACCTTCCCCTTGCGTAACCGACTCCTGAATCCAGGATTTGGTTGCAATGACCATTCCTTTCCCCCTTTGCGTAAGGTTTACTCTGAGCGTTTCCTTTCCCTCTTGTGGGATAAATAACGCACGGTGGCGACTCTTCTGTCATAGCCGGCGCCGATTTTCGCAGTAGCGACACAATCTTCTATATTCATCTTCAGACAAAAATCCATAACAATAAATATCAAAAACACCATTGTCTTTGAACCCAACACAACACCTCTTGGTTTGGACACCGATTTCCCCAAGTTTAGAGTACTTAAAATTATGTCGTAGCAAGAAGGAGGAGGTTGTGGAGTTATTGAAATTAAAGTGACAAGATAAGTGAGATTTCAGTTCATGGTTTCTATTGGAATAATTCAAATCGGTTGGATTAAAGTTGTTAGATATGCTAATTTGGAAGGTCCATTTATCAGGATTCCTCAAATTTTAAGTTCGGGACGGATGCAAACTATTTGTAATGATTAACAAGAAGATTCATGTCACGGTAAGGTCTAAGTATCCTATCTCGTCAGACTATATTCAAGTTGGAATTCAACTCTAAGAGGTTATGGGATTCAAGAGCCTCCAAAGGTTATCATAAGAATTTCAAATCTTCAAGAGTAATTCAAGAACATTCGCCGATTAGTTCAAGCCATTATACTTCAAACTGAGGAAACATAGGAAATTAAGGAATTAAATTCAGATTATTTAATTGATGCTCCATATGGAAAGATCAAGTATATTCAAATTCTTCAAGCCATTATACTTCAAACTGAGGAAACATAGGATATTCAGGAATTAAATTCAGATTATTTAATTGATGCTCCATATGGAAAGATCAAGTAAATTCAAATTCTCAAAGAAAATCTATCATTCATAATCATCCTTTCTGTGTTGCTATGACACAATTGAGACCTCACAATACATGACTAAAAGAGGAAGGCTATCAAATACAAAGTGACAAAGGTCCACAAGCCATTTCAAATTCGAAAAAATATATAAATGACCATTACGAGAACTTAAAACCGTACAAGAAGTTCCATATCCCGTGATTATTCAAGAAAATTAATGCTCAAATTCATGATAATACATCCTAAGAAGTTCACATGGTACAGAGCCTTTAAAATATAAATTCCCAAAGAAAACCCAAAGACCTATGAGATTCCTAAGTGACCAATGTCGTAAGGTCAAGGTTGTGTTGTTCCTCATATAAGAGGTCTCTTTATCTTGCTACCACCACCTAGTAGTTTCTTACACCATAGTTTCTTCAAGGCTAGCGTATGATGTTACTCCACCATCCAGAGTCCGATTTCTACAAGGAAACAGAAGGTTCATCAATCATCAAAATTAATCACGGCAAATCAAGGAAGAAACTCATTTTATCACATGACTGCGGTCCAGTAACAATTTCTGACAAAAAAACCTTTTAAGTACACCAAACATTGTTGAATTGATAAGAGGAAACACACCTACACTCAGAGCATTAACAGTAGAAGCATTTGATTCGCGAGAACTTCGTAGAAGTAGCTTCACAGGTAGAGATGGCAAAAAAGCCCGTGCCCGCGGGTATCCGCTGATATAATCCGTCACAGATACAATGTGGATAGCTTAATGGATATCCATGGATAAAATAAATGGATATTTAAATATCCGTTATTTAATGGATGTGGATGCGGGTTTAATGATACCCGTACCCGCGGATATCCATACCCGTTAATAAATTATAAAAAGTATTTAAATATTTTTAATTTATTATAGACGTCATTACATCTTCCAAGAAATTTAGTCTTTTCATATTACTTTTTGTAATGATTGATGAAAACTATTTGCATTATTACTTTTTGTTTTATTTAAACAATTATTATATGGTTTGATGAATTTTATTTTATTAAAAATGAAATGTATGGATATTATGTTTGAATGTTATTATGTTTTAGTGAAAAAAGAATGAAAATAATATGATGAAGTTTAGTTGTTAAATTGAGAGCGAAAAAATATATTTTTAAAAAATAATTTTAGACAAAAAAATTTATTCATGGATATCTGTAAATATCCGCGGATACCTTAAAACCCGTGGATTACCCGCTTAACTGATATTCGCATGGATATGGGGCAGATACGGATATCATATTTATCCAACGGGGCAGACACGGATATCATATTATCCGCCCCCATGGATATCCATTTACATCCGTATTCACAGGTGATCGATGTACTCTCTGACCTGCCGAGAATATGCTGAATGTAACAGAAGACCCCTGAATTTCCTCCTGAGACATACACAAGTGATGGTTTCAGAAGGAGAGAATTCAAAAGCCATAAATCAGACTTCACACTCAGTAAAAGCAATAATCAACATATAGCAAAAAAAAAGGAAATCATCCAGGTCTTAGCATAAATTTTGAAGTACAATCGGACAGGTTTTTAAGTTTGCAATCAATGCTCTTTCAGCAAGAAGATAAATGCCATTCACGTTGTTTCTGCAAAATCAAAACAAATTCAATTAGTTTCCAAAACAGTCACAACATGCTGTTTTGAGAATGGAAAGGGTTTTACAAGGATTCAATATCCGGTTTTCTACATTTAAGTCCATTCGAACTTATAAAAGGGTCAGTTCAGAAGAAGAAAAGGGGGGATCCACAGAAAAGCCTTCACAGATAATCACTAAAAGATTCAACACACGCAACATCCATTTACCCCCTCAACACTCACAAAGCTCAAAACACACTCAAGACAAGAGCACTTATCTGCGATTTGTTGACATAGTTGATGAACCATCGTGCCGAATCGTCGCTGATACTTTATTTTCTCGAAAAGCCTTTTAACGCCGCTGTTTTCTGGCCAAATCCCGTCTTTAGCGATCACGACCCACGGCAGAGTAGTGCGAGACCCTTTTAGATTTCGAGCGTGAGAAACGGAGTTGTGAATGCTTCTCGCTGGGTAACGATTCGAGGGTGTTGGGTTTTGAGATTCACTTGTTGTTGTCATTGCTTTTAGAGGTGAAAGGAAGAACGAGAAAGAAGCGGAAATGGAGAAAGAAGGAGAAATGAGGAAGAAGAAATGAGGAGGGGCGGCGCAAGAGAGGAGAGGCATTTGGGGTTGGGTTAGGGTTTACTAACCCTCCTTTCTGGACCGACGGGTATTGGGCCTCATTAGGGCCCGTATGTTTTTTTTTCAGACCTGCACCCCATCCGTTTTTTAAATCAACTCATTCTTTTTTTATTAACTCCTTTTTTAAAAAATTAAAATGAAATCTTATTTGATTAATTTTGTTTCTTAAAACTTCAATTGATCCAATTAAATATATTAACGTTGATCTTAAAATTTTGATAACTCCAACCTTTTTTTATCTCAATTACGTTTATAATAATCATTAACTTTGTGCGAAAACTCAATTATCATAATTGAAAATTCATATTAATCATATTTTCATATTTTTTCCCTTATTTAACAATCTTGTTTTTTCTATTCTGATTGTAATTTTAATAAAATTCAACTATATATTAATTATCCTTGATCTAAAAATCTATTTTTATTTTAAATTTGAGATTCAATTATTAACTTCGTTTTGAAAATTAATCTTAATTTATTTGTGATTGTCGTGACTTAGGGTTGGTATTTGACTAGTAGTTTCGATTGAATCACGGTCCCTGGAATTTTGAGCTTAAATTTCAAGCTTGTTAGTTCGTAACTCATATGGTCAACACTATTACACTGCTAAATCATGTAACTTCGCTCTATTTTCTTAATATTATCGTGTATGCATATCCAATGGAAGAACCCGTGTATGACTTCTTTAAGTTGTACACGCTGCATTTCATTTGCATCATCATTCCCTCGCTTGATCCTTGACTTTTTCAAGTCGATCAGTTTAGGATTTAGTCCCTACACCTTTAAGATAGGACTGATTCCTCTTGAATCTTTCAACTTAGACGAACCAATACAAAATTCAATCTTATTCTCCCCACAAGAGAATTAGACGTGATTCATCTTAATAGTCGAGATATAATTCTCCTACCCCATAATAATATCGAGAGATGTAGAATTGTTTCCGCTTAAGAGAGGTATGTGGCATACTCGTCGATAAATCCGAGTTTTGAGCCCTTCTCTCAATATGATGTAAAGACCATCTCCTACAACTTGTGGTGGTTAAGTCGAGTGTTCTCCCTTAAGATGATGACTCGTCTTTTCTCCTAGAACCAATCAACAAACCTCCTCCACCTGGAACTTTGACCAACAATTAATTTTTCCTAAATTCCTTTTAGGGGAACTACGAATACTCTAATTCCACTCCCGTCAGGATACGTAAGCATAAGATGCAATTTCTTGGTGAGTATACTTAGAAATAAACCTTTAGGTCTTCTACCCTTAGCAAACAACAATAACACATAAAATAAGAGGTTCCTATAAAGTACTACAGATGCTTAGGATGCTAGTACCTTCCCTAAGTTTAACCAACCCCCGAACGTTAGATTCTCTAGCTTTGCATTTGCATTGCATCTTGTGGATAATTCGATCTTTTTCCCTTCCCTTGGACAAATTAAAGACCGGTGGTGAATAATGAATTAAGATTCAAGTTAATCCAATAGCTTGATATCCAATTCTCACCACGACAGTGGATACGTAGGCATGAGGCAATAAGTCTCTTCAAACACAAAAAATATTAAAAAATACTTCTCTTCTCATCTCCCCAATCTCATTTTCAAACAAACCTTTTCAAACCAAAAAGCATATATATTTCAAAGGGTTCTTATATAGTACTATAGATGTTTTGGGTGCTAACATCTTCTCTTAGCGTAACCAACCCCCTTACCAGTCTCTGTTTATTTGTTCTTGTTTAGAACTTGTTTAGATTTTGTTTGCTCTTTTTCCTTTCCTTTTGGATAAAATAAAAGTGCGGTGGCGACTCTTGCTTTATGAGTTAAGTTAATCAATAGCTTACACTCACAAATTTCCCCGCTACAATTTTCATCCAATTTTTACACTAGTTCAAGTTAAAAACAAACACAAATCATCAACTTTTTGTTCATTCCAACTAAATAACTCAACTAACATAATTCATCAATGAATTTCCACCCTTGATAAACCCTAGTCTAGGATCACCATCCAAGGGTGGAAATTGATTCATTCCTAACTATTTTGCAACTACATTTCCCTCAAAATTCTCCCTATTCCATGTATCTAAACCTCAGTTTTCATTGCTTCATGATCACTCATCCTTGACACTAAAGAAACTCTGCCAGTTTCATTCCCTAAATCTCTTAAACTCACAAAAGCTCTTATTCCCCCATTGACGAGAGCTTCACATCGAAGCTCTGCATTAAATTGAGTTAAGCCTAAATCCACTATTCATCATCATTAATACAACTTGTTTAATCCAATAGCCTAAATCCTGATCTTATATCCTACTCCATTCTAACCATAACAAACAACTATAACATTGATTCATAAAGAAAAAGAAGAAGAAGAAATTTCTAAAAGCTAAGGCTCAAAAGTTTTACTTGAAAATCATGTATCTCTGGTTTTCTTCATCATCTTCTTTAACTCCTACCTTAACTAGAGCAAGCCTCAGCTCTGTAAGTAAGTATGAATCTTCTGCCTTCGTATTTGCTTCCATACTTGTTATCACTTTTAAGAGCCTGTGCCACTAAGTCAAAGCCCTAAGGTTTCCACTAGAGATATTGATTATATACCCTTTAATATTGATTTAAAGTTTTAGGGTTCTTGATGTTTGGATATGAATTGAGGGGTTAGGGCAGGTTTTAGCAAAATCTAAGTTTAGAAGTGGATAGAGGATGAATAGTGGAGTTCAGAGGTGGTGGTTATAAGTGGTTTTGGGCTCCGTTGCCGCCGGAGACAATTCTCGGCGCAACATAGGGATTTATGGTGAAGGTGATTTGAGAAAGGGAGAAAGAAAAAAGGGGCTGAGGAGTGAAATGAGTGAGGGATCCTTCCCCATTTGCCCTCACTCTGAAATTCCATTGGGCTTCAATTCAAGCCCAACACCCATTACTTCACGTGAACCTCATCAATTGCTGACACACCCCATTATGAACCAACAACAACAATAGAAAGAACACGGGCTTAACCACATGTGTCATGCGCCCCATACACTTCTCACACACCCTTTTTCACTTTTACACTCCTTGGCAGAGTATAAATAATCTCTTAATTGTTTTTAATAATATCTTTTAGCCTTTTTTAATACATTAAAAGAAGACATCTTAATAGCTTAATAATTAGGTTTATTAATTCTAACTAGGATTAATTTTTTAAGAAAGAATTAAAATCCCTAATTAGTAAAAAGATTAATGCAAAATTAGGGTTTTATTCTTTCTTTCTTTGACTTTTTCTTCATAATGTCATGACTTTTGATATAGGTAGCTTAACCTATTTTTTCAAAGTATTCACCTCCATTCATAGAATTTAGTGTAATTTAAAACAAAACAATCTGTTGCACCCCAAAATTTGCTCAACCTTTTCTTGCCTGATTCATGTTTTAATTGCATTATCATTTGCATAGTTACATCATATACATGGTCTAATCATTTGCACATCATAGCATAGCATGCCTCCAACAAGGGATCAAGGTGTCTGTCAGAAGAAGAAGCCTATCTAGAGGTGTTATATGAGCCTAAGAGGCCATCCAAGTCATCAAGGAGTGATTTGAAGTCTTGAGAAGTTTGAGTGCCCACAGGTGGATTTCTCTCCTAACTTGAGGTGTATTGAAGATCATCAACATGGAATTATGAATTTGAGGTGTGTATGGATCCCATGGGAGGCCTAGAGAGCCCTATTGATGCTTAGACAAGTCATGGTATCAAGTTCAAGAACCATAGTTGAGATGTGTACAAGTAGGGTTTCATCTGGGTAACCCTAGGTCAAGGAGAGTAAAGAAAGGGCATCAAGACATAGCTCTAGGTCATGGAAGTCATGGTTTGAGATGTTAAAGCATGTGTATGGATGAGTCAAGATCAAATTCAAGAGAATCAAGAGTGGTTGGAGGTGTTTGAGACAGGGTTCTCAGGGTAAAATCCCCTGCATAGCACTGGATTTCCAAGCCACATGAGTCAAAATACAAGTTTAAAATGGCTTTTTGGCCAACATGAAACTTTTAGAGATTCTCAATAGCTTTAATTTGAGTACTAGAAGTCTTCAATAAGATTTGTAGAACTCAAGTTATGGTTCTTGCAAGTTATAGGTCACCAGAGGACACTGAAATTTATCTGTGAAAGTTACTTGACTTCCAAGCAACTTTTTCCCTTCAAGGAGTTTTCAAATGGATTCTTGGCCAACATAAGAGTTGTAGGGCTTGATCTTACCTTTAATTTGAGTACTATAAGTCCTCAAGATGATTTGTAGAACTCAAGCTATGATCTTGGCAATCCAGGGGTATTTTGGGTATTGATGATTATAGGTCATTCTCAACCAAGGGTCCAAATCTCTATCTTCCCATCTTCAAATGAAAAAATGTTCAACATGAGATGTGCTTAAAATGATGTTTCTAGGTCAGATATGAAGTCATGGTGAGTTGAATTGGCTTGTATCACAAAATTGCAAAAATAGCCTAAAAAAGGAAGAATTAAAGTCATTTAAAAAGTCAAATTTGTGATTTTTTGTTTTAAGGTCAAAATGGGGCATATGACATATTAATTTAATCAGAAATGAGGTTTTAAAGATGATGGCAATGCCAATTTTGCCATTTTAGGTCATTTGAACACATTTGCATTTGGTAGCTTCACATATAAGTTACATATGCCAAACCATTCATGGGATCAAAACCAAGGATCTAACCATTCTTAACACATTCAATATATCATTTGGAGAGAATTTGGATCAGAATCAAAGTGCTGCAACAAGCTGAACATGACTGCCATGTATGAACTTCTCATGATAATTTCAAGTGCAAGAGATATTGGATATCTCACATAGATCATTTCAGAAGTTTCTAGAGCATTCCTACAGGTTCTATATAAGGTTTATGACTGATTCAAGGCATTGGTTGGTGAAGATTAAGAGAGAATTGAGAGATAGAATTCTGATTTTGCACCTTGCAAAACAAAATCGGTTACACGAATTTGAGCCATTTCAAA